GGGCACAGGAGGACCCGATCATTTCTGCTGCAGAACGTGGCTGATAGTGGCATCTTCCCTGTGCTCCCGGTGACAGCGTGTCAGGCCCAGCACCAAGTGGGGCATAGCCACCATGTGGGGCACAGCCACCATGTGGGGCAGCTGGAGCAGCAAGAGCAGCAAGAGCAGCAGGAACAGCAGCATGGCCATAAGCAGCAGCCGTGCCTGAGGCGGCAGCAGTGGCTGCTGCAGGAGTGGCAGCTGCAGAAGCAAGAGGATAGGCACAGGACTTTGAATGCAGCTGATGGGAACGGCAGATCACGGGAGGGGGAGGAGGAGGAGGAGGGCAAGCATGAGGTCACTTCCATAAAGAGGCAGAGGATGGTGGAACGCCAGCCTCATACGGGGAGAACAGAGAGGTGTGTAGCGTCGCCAGCTGGCGATACGGCGGGCAGAGGAAGGGGCGCAGCAGAGTTTGAGGTGGCGCAAGGCGCAGGGGCAGGTGGGAAGAGGATGGGTAGAGAGGGTTCGCCAGTAGCAGATGAAGGCAGGGTGCAATGTGGTGGTCAGCTTTCGGTAGAGAATAGAGAGCAGGAGGGGGGACATGGAGAGGGTGTGGTACGTGAAGTGGGTGTGAGACATGGTGAGAGAAGGCGGCCACACAAGGGGCTGGCAGCACGTGCATTTCCCAAGTCCCCCTCTAATGGTGGGGCATTTCCCAAGCCCCCCTCTACGGGTGGGGCATTCCCCAAGTCCCCCTCTTGCGGAGGGACATTTGAGGGGCTGCGGTGCCTGGTGGTGGAGGACAACGCGGTGAACCGCATGGTGGTGGTGCAGCTGCTGAGGAACCTGCGAGTGGCGTGCGACGTGGCAGAGAACGGCCGCAAGGCCGTGGAGGCCTGCACCGCCACCAACTACCACGTCATCTTCATGGTCCGTGCTCATGCTTCCCTGTCACTCCCATCTCCTCCTTGTATTCAGAACTGCCAGTTGGCAGCCTTGGATGAGTTTGAAGCCACTCTCCCGAAAATATATTTCCTCCAATTGATTCTCCCTTGCCTACCATGTCCCCTGCAGGATTGCCACATGCCTGTGATGGATGGGTTTGAAGCCACCACTCGCATCCGGAAGCTACAATCCAACACTATGATGGCAGATGTAAGAGACACATCCCCGCTAGAGGAGCGATTCTCATTGGATGTTGAGAGTAAGCGAGAGGAAACCCCACATGAGAAATTTGTTCAACGTTCGGCCATTTACGCAGTTACTGCTAGTGTGCTCAAGCATGAAAGGGATAAGTGTGCAAGCGTAGGGATGGACGGATTCCTTGCCAAACCCATCAGGTTGAGGGATATACAACAGGTACTACACCAATTAGTCAGCAAGGCTAATCAGGATTTAGAATGATGGCTTAGTAGACTCCTGTTATCATGGTATCTTTTTTTTTCGGTTGCGGAGCAACCTATTGCAATAGATCGGGCTGGTTTTTTTTTCAAGTTTGTGAAATAAAAATTAAATGTTTTTTGTGATGGAAATAAAACATTTTATGTATAATAAAGTCTCATCATGAAATGCTCCGCAACCCTAAGACGATCTCGTCGCCTCTTGTTTTTTTTTTTGTTTTTTTTTTTTTTTTTAACATTCGGTAGGCTACACTGCTCACTAACTAGAGAGATCAGCGGCCTTGCGTATTGCTATGGATGCGCGTATCTTCAGCTTTCGTCGTGCGTACAAAAGATTTGAGCATGACTCGTGCTGCCCAGATTCGCTGCAAAAGATTCGAGCTGATGGTAGGCGGCAAGGGAAGCATCCCTTCCTTCCATTTGCTTCACATCATCACCACAAACAGTTTGCTGACCATATGCGCCAGGTGTGGCTTGCGTGCAGGGCTTACCTTAGGGTTTTCGTCCACACGGCAGATCCGGTTATCTCTTCCGTGGGACCCGGATAAAACGGGTGTATGTGAAAAGCTACTCATCGAAATCCGGGAAGGAAAGAAATAGCACTTCCGTGGGATCCGTGATTACAAACGCTTTAACGAAAAGTTCCTGGGTTCTACAAAGGGAACCGCAAAAATATATTCCTCTCAGTTCTTCTAAATCTATCTCTGAGAACTTTGTTGCTGGGCTGATTTGCCCTGAGGAGAGGGAATGGAGGGGGGAATCGGGGGGTGGGGTGGTGTGAGAAGTTCTAGTATCCATGTTTGCCAAAGCCTAACACGCACTTCCAGGGTTCTGGTCGAAATATACCCATGAGAATCCGGGCTTGTGAAAATCGAACACGTCGCAATCCGATTCCGGTCGAAAATCACCCGTTATTTTGTCAAAATCCGGGTAGTTGCCCGTGAAATAAGCCCTGCTCTTGTGGTTCCATCCTGACCTGAGACTGCGCGTGATGCTTCTGGAAGCATCGGGGCTTGCGAGAGGAGTTGCTCATACACCAGGTGTCCAGCGAGTCCTGGAAATTTGACCGGGCCCACCCCCGATTCTGCGTCCATTCGTCACCAATCACGGGCAACAGCCCTTTCATCTGATGGCCCACTCACCTGGGATTTGTGGCACCTGCGACACAAAGGAGGCCAGCATGTCCTTGCGAAGAATTTCAACAAATACGGGCCCCCCTTTAAATTTCCACAAAAAGCGCGCATCGTCGTGACGCACCGGAATGCACATCTCACATATCTTGAAAGAGGGTATATTTAGAATTACAGATGTTCTACGATTCAAGCACGCAAATGTTTTTCGCGCTGCGTGCATGTATCCTCCGGCCAAAAACGCCGGGAAAAAAGGGCGTGTACACTTCCGGGGCGGGAGCAGCCGAACGCTAGTCATTTAGTTCGGGCAGCCTGGGTGCGTCCGTTGCGGTGTGGCCTAAGGTAACCAGCGCGAGAAACTTCTAACCCGCATCAAACGGGTCATGTTACCGGCGCTTCATATCGAGCAAAATCCGGGCCCTCCTGTGCAGGCGACGCAAGCAACGGGAGCGCGGAGCAGTCATTTTTGCTGTTGGGCGAAAGCGTATATGGGTAGGGTTACAGGGTGTGGCTTCGTGGTTGTTCAGATTGATGTGGCTGGATTCATACAGTACCCGTGCGTTTGAAGTTCGTGGAACACCCTGGTGAATTGCGCTGGCAAACGCTGATGTGTTCAAATGTTCATCCATTTGAACATTAGCTTCTGTTGCAACTACAAACCTCCATGTTTACGTGGCAGATCAAAAGCTCACTAGCTGACGAGAAGCCTTTTACTAACTTCGTTAGGCTATGTCTCTTCACTAACGTAAGCGTTGGGACGCATCCCATTGGTCTGTGCAGAATCTGGGCGCTATCTTGTACAATACACTCTTTTGGGTCGTTTCATGTTGAACAGCGATTGTGCGTATACACTACGGGGTAAGAGTAGGTTGTATATATCAATGGGTCCTTAGCCGTGATTGTGTGAGTAGCTCGGATATCTGTAAGAGGGATCATGTTTAATTCCTACACAAGTCAAAAATTCTGACAACCAGGTTTACGTTTGTGCGAAACGACTCGTGTCCACTTTATGGCCCGTTCTGCCGTGGCGAAAGCTCGTGAAATAAACGCGTGCATTACGCCCACGCGGTTCGTCTAAACCGAGGGCCAGCGATGCGCAACCGGTGAACTGTAGTAGTTTCTGGATTATTTTTAATTTCAATTACATTCTCCCCGTCAGGGTCCGCATTCCTGAACGTTTTTGTTTTCGAAACTTTTGCATGACTATCGGGCCCCTTTTTGCACCAACAAGAAGTCTGGACCACAAGTGCTGTACTTAATCTTTGCTTCTATCCAGAATGCTTCTGGAGTGTTCTAGAAACCATCCGGGGATTTTAAAATTGAATGGACCACGGCCCTTGTTCCTCCCCCCTCTCCGTTACAATGCCACGTGATCAAAATATTGATTCGATGAGCCGCGGATCGGGTACGGATACTGGATTTGGCATGGGTTGTACCGGACAAAGACGAGGCAAGCAATGCCGAATCCGATCTAACCGCTGCACAAGCTGCCTCCCTTCCCGCACCCCAGCTGCAGTGACTGACCATCAGGGCTCTTGCTAGGTTTTTTGCCACCTCGGACGATCCGTGCTCCTCGAAAAATCGCCCTGTAAAAGCCGTCTTCGTAAATGAATTACCTTGAGTCTTCAGGGTCCGCGTTCGAAAAGGCCTGATAGAGTATGGGCATTTCGTTTGGGACGAGACAGTGGGATTGCGAGTGGGAGTACTTCGGGGTGGGAAATCCGCCACCACAGACGCACCTGTGAAGGAGCTAAATTTGGGCCAGGAGGGGTGGGGAAAAGGGGGGTGGGGGGAAGGGCGTTTTGAGTGGTAGCTCATTTTAAAACCTGCTGCTAAGTGACCATTGATCTGGTAGTACGGGGAAATACAGGTAGTTCTAGCTCCTTGGCAGCTTATGGCGTGGTTCATTTCCCAAGGTTTATTTGTTCGAATTACTACCGCACTGAATCGTATAAATATCGATAGCAACACACAGAAACGTACAGGAACCCTGTCAATATTCAATTTTAAGCTATTCGAATCCCTGCCGTTATACAACTTTCCCCACGTTTGGGGGAGGGAAGGGTGGGGCTAAGGGGGAAAGGGAGTACTAGAGACCTTGAGATATTCTAACACCTCCTGGAGGCTACCCTAGTGTCCGGGTCCACCCAGAACCCTCCCGGACTCTACAGGTGACTAGAAACATTACTCTCAGCTCTTCAGGGCTGGCCTGGGAAAAGTTATGTAGAACACAGGATCGGTCAGTCGGTCCTTGGATTTTAATCAAGTCAGGGTAATTGCCCTGTTAACACGTGCCCTGCTGACCATCCCCAACCTCCCCCCAGCTCTGCTGCGTATCACTTTCGCCTGTGAGTGTTACCAGTGGAATTACCCCCTCGCAACTCTTCGCTCAAGCCAGCTTCCATTCCCCGCACCTGCCTCTCTCTCCTCCCAAGCTTTCTTCCTGCCCGAATCCAACCTCCTAACCCTTACCTCCAGGCTGTAAAGACGCCAAGACCTGTGAGTGGAAGCTGGCTCACTTCTCTTTTCAAACCATGATTGGAAGCTGGCTCACTTCTCTTTTCAAACCATGAGTGGACGTTTTCTCAAGCCTTTTTCAAAATCCGTTGCCTCAGTTGCTAGGCTTCAAGTTGTGATCGGAAAACTAGTCATAGTCACTCCTAAGATGATAGTATGTTAGCAACAGCGCATGCGTAGTCTTCGTACAGTATCACAGCAGATTCAGGGCCGCCATGGCTGGAAATGTATTGGACATTCTCAAGAGTTCGCTCCTCCAGGCCGTTCCCGCTGTGCTGGTGGCCGTGAGCGGCGGGAACGCGAGGGAGCAGCGGATAGCACAGTGCAGGTACTAGTACAGTTGTTGGGGAAAAAATCGTGTGGAAATTAGAGGATTGAGTATCCTCTGGAGAAACTGGAATGCCGCTTAAAACGCCGGCACACCGGCTGGATTGGCGGCTAGGGTCCTCCGAGGATAGTAATATCCGAGAATAGCTATTTTAGCCTGTCATCATCCTCGGAATTGAAGGTATTTTTTGGGATTCTAAAAAGAAGCATACAACTTTAGCGTCATCATCCTCGCGTTGCTTCCGCGGTGGAGGTCAACCGGTCTGACGTGTCACCTTCCCCCTTTTGTGGAGATCAAACGGTCTGACGTGTCACCTTCCCCCTTTTGTGGAGATCAAACGGTCTGACGTGTCACCTTCCCCCTTTTCTGGAGATCAAACGGTCTGACGTGTCACCTTCCCCCTTTTCTGGAGATCAAACGGTCTGACGTGTCACCTTCCCCTTTTTGTGGAGATCGAACGGTCTGACGTGTCACCTCCCCCCTTTGCTCCCTTCCTTCCCTTTCGCTGCTGGCTTCAGCGCTGCGCTATCCGATGTGCTCGTTCTGCCGAAATGCGAACTGTCAGGAAAGCGCGTGCAGTCGCTGGTCCACCCTTCCGACAGAGCCGCGTTTGAGGTGAGCTGAGCAAGCGAGGCGAGCCACGGAAGCGAGGTGAGCCGCGGAAGTGATTTTGGACCGGATCGTTCCCCTGCTCTCTCGAGAATAGTAGTAATATAACAGTAAATTTTGGATCTGCAATAAAAGTACATAGTAGGACAGAATGCTGGTGGCAATCGCAGAGATCATTGGGGTTTCGCTCGAGGTGAAAGACGAGTTATGAGGTGCCTCAAAACTCTACTCCCCATCCCTCCATCTCCCTCTCCCCCTCCCCAATCTCCCCACCCCCCATCCCTCTGCTCCGCCCCGCAGGCAGCTGTGGGGGAGTGCGCGGCGGATAGCAGTAGGCGGAAGCGGCAGGTCTGGGTGCGGCTGGCAGTGAGAGGGGCGGTCGAGGGGAGAACGGGGGGAGAGTTAGTGGGGGAGGGGGAGAGGGGGGGGAGTCAGGGGAAGCGGAGATGGGCGAAGAGCCGGGAGAGGAGAAGAGAGGGGGGGGAGAGGGGAAAGGGGAGGAGCGAGTGAGTGGCGGTGGTTTGAGGTGTCTGCGTCACTAGCCGCGCGTGGTGCGAGTGCTAAGGATGGTAGAAGTAGCACCAGCAGAGCTTCAGGCACTAAGGAGGATAGAAGCACTAGCACCAGCACCAGCACAGCTTCAGGTGCTAAGGACGCCGCTAGCAGCGTTGGGAGAGCAAAGAATGCGCCAGGTGAAAGCGGTGGGGATGATCAGAGGATGGTTCTCTGCACCTTCCTTGACGCCACGGAGCAGCGGCTGCGCCAGGTGAGAAGGCTTTAACTGTGAACTGGCTGGGAGGGCTTTAGCAGTGGCTGAGAACTGTGAAAGGTATCGGTTGGCGCACATGCAGGACACGTCATGAGCCTGTTGGGAACGTCATACTACGCAACGCAATGCAGTGTGAACATCTCTACCGCTCCTCCTTGCTGCATGCCCTTCTCCCTTCCCCACACCCCCCCTTCCCCGCATCAACAAACCCCCATCTTACCCTCCCCCCGATCATTCCCCCACTTCCCCTCCCCCGTCCTCCCTCGCACGACCTTCCCCTCCCCCCGTCCTCCCTCGCACGACCTTCCCCTCCCCCGTCCTCCCTCGCACGACCTTCCCCTCCCTCCCTGTTCACTTGTTGATCGTCCACCTCTCCCCGCTCCCCCTTCCCCTCCGCCTCTCGTCACCCGCGTTTCCTCTCCCTTTCATCCCACTCGCCAGCAGTTTTGAGGCGCCTCAAAACTAGACATTCCCCTCCGACTCTCGTCACCCTCCTTCCCTCTCCCTTTCATCCCACTCGCCAGCAGTTTTGAGGCGCCTCAAAACTAGACCTTCCCCTCCGACTCTCGTCACCCTCCTTCCCTCTCCCTTTCATCCCACTCGCCAGCACCACCTGCTGCTGCTGCTTGCGAGCACGCAAGCAGTCCTCACAGCTCCTGCTGCTGCTTGCGAGCACGCAAGCAGTCCTCACAGCTCCTGCTGCTGCTTGCGAGTACGCAAGCAGTCCTCACAGCTCCTGCTGCTGCTTGCGATTACGCAAGCAGTCCTCACAGCTCCTGCTCCTGCTCGCAGCAATTGCTCGCAGCAGCTGTGGGACAATGTGCGCAGCCAATCTCTCGTCTTCCCTCGCTCCCCCTCCGCTCGCTCAAGAGCAGGTGCCGATGCTGCAGCAGCCGAGGGAGAGTGCGCAGCTTGCCCCTCCTCGTCATCCTCACCCACTCGTCTTCCCTGCCTTCCTCTCCTCCCTCTCCCTTCTCCCCTCTCCTCGTAGGTGCTCATGCTGCAGCAGCTGAGGGAGTGCGCGCAGCTGGTCCCTCGACCTCATCCCTCCCCTCCTCCCCGCCACCCTCTTCGTTTTACCTACCTCCCTCTCCCTTCTCCCCTCTCCTCGTAGGTGCTCATGCTGCAGCAGCTGAGGGAGTGCGCGCAGCTGGCCACGCCGTCACATGCCGCACCGCCCCAACCAGGTTCAGACGGCGGTCAGAGTGCTCCCACTCATGCCGTCTCTCCCCCTGCTGCCTCTCCGCCTGGCGCCTCTCCCCCTGGCACTGCTTCTGAACGGGGTGCCTCTGCCAGCAGTGCTGCTGCTGGTGCTGCTGGTGATGCTGGTGCTGGTGGGGGTGCTGGTGCGGGTGCTGGTGGTGATGCTGCTGGGCACGATGCTGGTGGGCGCGATGCTGGTGGGGGTGATGGTGGGGATGGCGGTGGGGAGGGCGACGAGCGCGTGTGTCTGTGGAGGGAGGCGGAGTGGCTGATGGAGAGAGTGAAGGCAGCGCTGCAGCTGGGCCATGAGAATGCCAAGTTCCGAGCCATCTTTGACCTCTCCATTGTGAGTCAACGAGCCATCTTTGACCTCTCCATTGTGAGTCAACGAGCCATCTTTGACCTCTCCATTGTGAGTCAACGAGCCATCTTTGACCTCTCCATTGTGAGTCAACGAGCCATCTTTGACCTCTCCATTGTGAGTCAACGAGCCATCTTTGACCTCTCCATTGTGAGTCAACGAGCCATCTTTGACCTCTCCATTGTGAGTCAACGAGTCATCTTTGACCTCCCCATTGTGAGTCAACGAGCCATCTTTGACCTCTCCATTGTGAGTCAACGAGCCATCTTTGACCTCTCCATTGTGAGTCAACGAGCCATCTTTGACCTCTCCATTGTGAGTCAACGAGCCATCTTTGACCTCTCCATTGTGAGTCAACGAGCCATCTTTGACCTCTCCATCATGTGAGTCAACGAGCCATCTTTGACCTCTCCATTGTGAGTCAACGAGCCATCTTTGACCTCTCCATTGTGAGTCAACGAGCCATCTTTGACCTCTCCATTGTGAGTCAACGAGCCATCTTTGACCTCCCCATTGTGAGTCAACGAGCCATCTTTGACCTCTCCATTGTGAGTCAACGAGCCATCTTTGACCTCCCCATTGTGAGTCAACGAGCCATCTTTGACCTCTCCATTGTGAGTCAACGAGCCATCTTTGACCTCTCCATTGTGAGTCAACGAGCCATCTTTGACCTCCTATATGCGACTCCTTGTTTTCTGTCTCGAGCTGCATGAAAAAACGGCCGGACTGGTCCGTAGAACATGTGTACCTAAGTGCTGCCATCTGGTTCCCTCGCCATGCCCGCATCTCTCCATTCTCATGTCTCTTGCCCTATCCCTCCATCCCTCCCCCCCCCCCCCTCCTCCCCCCCACCCCCCGAACTGTCGTTCCGCGTTCCCCATCCCCCCGAACTGTCGTTCCGCATTCCCCATGCCCCCCAGGACCCCATTCAGCTGTTCACCTTCACCAGGGCAGGCGCCCCGCTCCCCAAGTGCAACGACGCCACGGTGCGAACCACGACAGCTCTACGTGCGAGCCATAGCCATACGTGCGAGCCATACGTGCGAACCGTGAGATGAGAGCTCTACTCCATCTCCATGCCTCCTCTCCCATCACCTCCATCGCTCTATTTCCCCACCTTCCCTCCTCCCTCCCCCCCTCTCCCCCTCACTCCCCCAATCCCCCGCCCAGGGACCCCATTCGGGTGTTCACTATATGACTTCACACTGCGCCCTTCTATCTCTTCCATCGCTCTTTCCTCCCTCTTCCTCCTCCCCCCCACCCACCTCAACAGGACCCCATTCAGGTGTTCACGACACCCGACTTCACTCTGCGCGAGTGCAACGACGCCACGGTCCAGATCATGGGGTACCCCTCCAAAGAGGCGGCGCTCGCCAGCATGAGCATCGTCAAGCAGTCGCCCGAGTTCCAGCCCAACGGGCGGCAGAGTTTGGAGTATTTCTTGGAGATCCTGGACGGCATTATGAAAGGGGGTGGCGTGGAGCCCTTTGAGTGGGACATGTTTTCCTTGGATGGCCGCGCGTGCACCGTGCTCGTCAAAGGCAAGGTGAGTGAGGGCATAAGACAAGGCAAGGTATGTGCTCCTTTGCCTGGCAAGGTCTTGATGGCGGAATGAGAGCGCATCCTGGGCACAGGGGTTGAGTGAGACATGTTTTCCTTGGATGGCTGCGCATGCACCGTGCTCATCAAGGCAAGGTGAGTGAGGGCATAAGACAAGGCAAGGTGCGTGCTCCTTTGCCTGGCAAGGTCTTGATGGCGGAATGAGAGCGCATCCTGGGCACAGGGGTTGAGTGAGACATGTTTTCCTTGGATGGCTGCGCATGCACCGTGCTCATCAAGGCAAGGTGAGTGAGGGCATAAGACAAGGCAAGGTGCGTGCTCCTTTGCCTGGCAAGGTCTTGATGGCGGAATGAGAGCGCATCCTGGGCACAGGGGTTGAGTGAGACATGTTTTCCTTGGATGGCTGCGCATGCACCGTGCTCATCAAGGCAAGGTGGGTGAGGGCATAAGACAAGGCAAGGTGCGTGCTCCTTTGCCTGGCAAGGTCTTTATGGCGGAATGAGAGCGCATCCTGGGCACAGGGGTTGAGTGGGACATGTTTTCCTTGGATGGCTGCGCATGCACCGTGCTCATCAAGGCAAGGTGAGTGAGGGCATAAGACAAGGCAAGGTGCATGCTCCTTTGCCTGGCAAGGTCTTGATGGCGGAATGAGAGCGCATCCTGGGCACAGGGGTTCAGTGAGACATGTTTTCCTTGGATGGCTGCGCATGCACCGTGCTCGTCAAGGGCAAGGTGAGTGAGGGCAAAGGCAAGAAAGCTTTGGTGAATTGTCTAGGGGCCGCCCAGTTCTCTAGGGGGATATTAGAGAGCACCCTGGGCTGGGTGAAGTGAAGGGGCCGCCCTTTGAGTGGGGGATGGCAAGTAGTGCACCGTGTTTGTCGAGGGCAAGGTGAGTGAGATTGTGAATCGGCGTGGTGAAAAAGACCCCTTTCGTTTGTGTGTGTATACATGTATACATGTAGATACATATATATGCATATATGTGTATATGCGTACATATATATCACTCTCTCACAGTTTCTACCGATCTCTCTGTTATGTCATTCACTAATTCCGTAGAATTGGTTTCCCCCTATCTTCCCAGGTCGTGGCGGTTAATGGGATTTCATATTATGTAAGCGTGTGGCACGACATAACGGACATGAAGCGCAAGGAGGAGGAGCTGAAGGCGGCCAAGGAGGCGGCAGAGGCGGGCAGCGAGGCGAAGAACCGGTTTCTGGCGAACATGAGCCACGAGCTGCGCACGCCCTTGAACGGCGTCATCGGCGTTGCCGACCTGCTGCTGCGCACGCCGCTCTCCCCGCAGCAGCGCTCCTACGTGGACGTGATTTCGTCGTCTGGCAACGCCCTCATCCACATCATCTCAGACGTCCTCGATATATCAAGAATCGAGACTCACTCGCTCGTCCTCGACTGCTCCCCGTTCAACCTTCACCACACCGTGAACGAGGCCGTTGAGGCAGTGAGGATCGCCGCACAAGGCAAAAAACTCAAGGTGAGAAACATGATGCATATGATCGCTGCACATTCTCATTTATTAATTTATGCATATAGATCAATGATTTGCATTTTTTGTTTGTGTCATGGTGTAACATTAATTACAATACATGAAATTACATATGCTGAGCATACTACCAATGACAAAGAATGTTTTGCATTGGAAAAATATATATATGTATATATATATATATACGTAAAATATTTATACAGGAATTTTATCATACATGTGCTCTGGATGTATGTTTTTCTCATGTCATTTTCTCATACACTGACGTATTCCTAAACTGCGTTGTGCAGCTATGCAGCCGGATGGGCGTGGGCGTGCCGGCGTGGGTGGAGGGCGATCAGCTGAGGGTGCGGCAGATTCTCCTCAACCTGCTCTCCAACGCCATCAAGTTCACCGACGCCGGCCGCGTGGACCTCACGGTCGCTGTGTGCTCCAACCCCTTTGAAAAGGAAAATGGTAAAAGTCATCCTCAGGTGGCTTCTCCTGGTTTTGATGCAGAGACAAGGGTGGCAGGAGAGGCAGAGAGGCCTGTAGCGGGACAGGTGGAAAGGGGTCGGGAGTCAACTGATTGTGGAGGTGAGCAGGAGAGGGAGGGGGACCAACCAAGGCATGAAGGAAGGTGTTTACCTGGCACACCGAAATCAGCAGCAGCAGGAACTGAGGTAGCAGCAGCAGCAGCAGCAGCAGCAGCAGCAGCAGCAGCAGCAGCAGCAGCAGCAGCAGCAGCAGCATCAGCAGGAGGAGGCAGTCGTGGTGAAGGCAGAGGGGGGAGGGGAGACATGGCAGAGGAAGAGGAAGATGAGGTGAGTGCGCGCGTGCGGGAGGACTTGGACCGCATACTGAACGAGCCGTGGGTGCTCACTCCCGCCACCGCCTCGCTCGCTGCGGCTGAGGCTGGCCTTGCTGCTGCCTCGCTCTCGTGCCCCTCAAGAGTGTCTGATGCCCTGGCTGTAGCACCAGCTGTAGCACCAGCTGTGGCACCAGCTGTGGCACCAGATGTGGCACCAGCTGTGGCACCAGCTGTAGCACCAGCTCTGGCACCAGCTGTAGCACCAGCTGTAGCAGCAGCAGGTGATGCAGACACAGCAGCTACAGCTACAGCTGTATCTGTGCCCTCTGCATCAGGAGCAGCGGAGGCAATGGAGCTATCAGATGCACCAGCTGTAGCAGCAGCACTGGAGCAGCCCGCTTTCGAAGCAGCAGCCGCTGCACCAGAGGCTGACGACGGCCAGAGATGCAAGGAAGACAGAGAGCACGCTGCTGTAGCAAGCTCCGCTGCACCAAGCTCTGCTGCACCACATGCAGGGAATGCAGCCTCCACTGCACCAGATGCAGGGAATGCAAGCTCCGCTGCTGCTGGGGCAAGAGATACAGCGGAAGGCGCGAGGTGCAAGGAGGATACGGAGTTCGCTGCTGTAGCAAGCTCCGCTGCCGCTGATTCTGCAGCCGATGCTGCGGCCGTCTCCATCCTGTCCTTCCACGCCCATGCGCCGACCAACCAGGCCCAAGAGCCAGGAGAAACGGGAGCAAACCGGACGGGAGGGAGAGACGGGGGAGGCGGGAAGGAACGAGGGATAACGGAGGACGGGGAAGGGCGGGTGTGGGTGAGAATCGACGTGAAGGACACGGGTATGGGTCTGTCGGCAGACGCGATGTCTCGACTATTCGCCCCTTTCTGGCAGGTGGACGACTCGTCGTGCCGCAAGCATGGCGGCACGGGCCTGGGTCTGTCCATCTGCCGCTCGCTGGCGTCACTCATGGGGGGCTGCATCTCCGTCACCTCCACGCCCCACCAAGGCTCCACCTTCTCCCTCTCCCTGCCCTTCGCCCCTGCTGCTGCTGCTGTTGCTGCTGCTCGCTCTGGAGGGGGGATTTTCCAGCAGCCAAGGGAGGAGGGGGTGAGGAGTGGTTTGGCAGGGTTAGGGGTTTGTAACGAAGGGGTGGCGAGGACCATAGCGGGTGTAGAGACGAAGAGCGTAGTGGTTGATTTGCAGCGCGGAAGAGGGGCAGGGGCAGAGAAGCGGGCAGAAAGGAGGTCGGATTTTGTAGTGGAAGAGCAGGGAGAGGGGATTGAGAGGGCTGGGAGGGAAGGGGCAGGTTTACAGCAGCAGCAGCCGCCACCACAGCAGCAGCGGCAGCAGCAGCAGCCAGGGAGCACTGGGGTGGCAGGAGGCTTGGGGGCGAAACGGAGAGCAGAGCAGGGTGACCTGGAAGGGCAAAGGAAGCGACTGAGGGGCTCCAGTGGGGAAGAGGGGGAAGAGGGGGAAGCGGGAGAGGAGGAGGAGGGAGATGATGAGGAAGAGGAGGAAGAGGAGGAAGGGGTGGAAATGGAAGAGGAGGAAGTGGAGGAAGGGGAGGAAAGTTTGAGGGAAGAGCATGGGAAAAAGAAAGAAGAGGCAGGAGCTGAAAATAGGAGCTGGGGGCGAGGTGGTCTATCACTGGCGAGTTCTCTATCTCACAACAACAGCAATAGCAAGGGCGGCCGCCGGAGCAGCGGGAGCGGGCGCAGCGGCAGGAGCACGGGGTTTGAGGGGCTGCGGTGCCTGGTGGTGGAGGACAACGCGGTGAACCGCATGGTGGTGGTGCAGCTGCTGAGGAACCTGCGAGTGGCGTGCGACGTGGCAGAGAACGGCCGCAAGGCCGTGGAGGCCTGCACCGCCACCAACTACCACGTCATCTTCATGGTCCGTGCTCGTGCTTCCCAGTCAGTCCCATCTCCTCACTCTCCTCTGTCATCTCCCCCCCCACCCCCAACCTCCTGCCACCAAGTTCCACGCCATCTTCATAGTCAGCGCTCGTGCTTCCCTAACACTCGCTATAAGGCCCCCTTTATACCACCAACTACCACGTCATCTGGTCAGTGCTTGTGCCTAAAAAATAGCGCCCTCGTTTGCCCTGCCCTCCAGCGCATGTAATGAGTCTGCTTTTGAGTCGACTCAAAAGCAAAAATTAGCGCCCTCGTTTGCCCTGCCCTCCAGCGCCAAGTGGGCTGCCACTCACTCCCAATGCATCCCCCCTTCCGTGTTCCTCATTGCTACCCATCCCATCTCCCCTTCCTTTCATCCTCTTTGCAGGATTGCCACATGCCAGTGATGGACGGGTTTGAAGCCACCACTCGCATCCGACAGCTACAGTCCAACGCCCATATCGCTCACATCCCAAGCACAAACACTAATACAACCCCGGTCACAAACACTAATACCACCACCCGGGTCTCCAACTCTCATCTAACCGAAGCCCCAGATGCTCCTGGGATAATTGAAGTACTGAGAGGGGACGAAGAGAGGACACAGCAAGAGAAGGTGGTTCAGCGGTCGACCATATACGCGGTGACTGCGAGCACAATGAAGCACGAGAGAGACAAGTGCGCGGATGCGGGCATGGATGGGTTCTTAGCCAAGCCGATACGGCTGAGGGATTTAGAGCAGGTGCTTGCGCAGATAGTCGCCAGGGATCAGTAGGAGGTGCACGGTTCACCATAGAATACATGTATGCACTGCTAGTGAGCACACCAGAGTGTCAAATTTAACGAATTAATAGAGCCATGGCATACAAGGGAATATAACCTAGTGGGTTGTACTCTCTAAGGTACAATCTTGTGTAGTCTATAACAACATACAAGGATATGTTTGACACACCCCTTAGACTGGATAGGGGCAATGTCCAGTGAGAGACAAGCAACTCAGGGTGGCACTCCCAGTCCAGCCTCTGAGGTAAAGGTCTAAAGACCAGTCAAACGAGTACAAACAAGGCAAGAGCGAGACCAGGGCGGCACTACTAGTCCAGCTACTGGGAAGAGGCCACAAGGCCAGTCATGGTTATATGTATTAAGGTATGTACACAATCAAGGTCCTAGCAAATGAGAGGTTACAGGAACGAGACCTAGTTGTACACAGTGCCGCTGATGATCTTTAGGCGCAAGCGCCTTCGTAAAGATATCCGCTGTGTTGCCACTGGAGGCCTGGCGACGCTGTTGTAGCTCACGTAGAAGGAAGTACCGCAGCTGGATGCTTTGCTCTGCCCTCAAGTCGTGGCTCCTGACACAGGAGGATCATGGCCCTGTTGTGAGCGCACAGAACCGGGGCAGAGCTAGGCCGCTCACCTAAGTCGGTGAGCAAGAAGGTCAGCCAGCGGAGCTCCTGTGCCGCCATGGCACCGGCGTAGATCTCAGCCTCACAGCTAGACTGGGCAACAGACGAGGAGCGGGTGGACCTCCATGAGATGGCACCTGAACCAAGGCTTAGCAGTAGCCCTGGGAGGACCTGAGAGTCTCGGCGTCGTCTGCCCAAGAAGCATCTGTGTGTCCAGTAAGGACCACTGGTCTGCGTCCTCCTAGTACTAGCCCCATGCCCGATGTACTTGCTAGATAACGCAAAACCCTTTTAGCTGCCGACCAACGCTATGGTCGGTGTCTGCCGGTGGTCACAAAGCAAGCCAGGATGCTGAGAGGGTACGCGAGATCTGGACGAGTGCAAGTCATCAAGTACATGAGGCAACCCACTAGCTATGCGTAGGAAGCACTAGGCTCTATAGCCTCCTCCGGGACTGGAGCCGAGAGTCTGTGATCTACTTGCAGAGGGGTGGGCTGTGCGGAAGAGAACTGAAGGCTGAACCTCTGAAGGACCTGGCGCACCAAGTGTGACAGTGAGAGAGTGATAGTGCGCGCTGCTCTGTCCCTGGAGATCTGCAGGCCAAGGTAGCGGCGCAGCTTTCCTAGGTCAGCGCAGGTGTGTCTTCTCAGCAGCTCAGCCTTCACGGAAGCCAGAGCGTCTCTGTCTGTAATAGCAAAGACCAAGTCGTCTACGTAGGCAAGGATATAGAATGGAGTCTGGCCAGAACGGACAATTTGCGAGGGGTCTGCAAAGGACGGGAAGAAATGCAGGTCAGCAAGTGTAGCACGCTTGTGTCGTGCCACTCACTGGGCGCTTGTCGCAAGCCGTAGATGGGGCACCGGAGGAGCCACTCGGTACTAGGGGGAAAGGTACCGGAGAAGCCCTGGGGGCGGCGCAGGTAGACCTACTCGTGTAGATTGCCCTGGAGGAAAGCTGTGGAGAAGTCGAGGGAGTGTAACTCATAGTCACGCTGTGCTGCTACGTGCAGCAGTGCCCGAAGAGTAGTCATCTTCGGGGTCGGGGCGAAGGTCTGAAAGTAGTCCACCCCCTCGCGCTGACTGAAGCCTCGAGCAACGTAGCGCGCCTTGAAGACAGGTGGCTCTCCAGGAGGGCGCTTCACCTTGAAGAGCCAGCGGCCATCGACTACGTTCACCCCAGGTGGGGGAACTGCGTCGACGAAGGTACCGGTGGATCTCTAAGATGCCATCTCCTGCTCCATAGCAGCTATCCACTGAGAGGCCCAAGGTACCGAGGTGGCCTCAGCGTAGATGTGAGGGGTCGGGATGTCAAGGGCGTCTGGGTCACCCTTAGGGACTAACAGCATGGAACAGAGATGGGGAGCGGCCTCAGACAGGAAAACGAGCTCATACTACCTGTCCTCTAGGACTATACTGCCAAGAGCAGCCACACCCCCGACGGACGGAGGGCAAGCAGGGTCAGAGTCTAGAGCGGTAGCATAGTCAAGGCAGCAGGTAGCGGCGAAGTCAGTGACATCAGTGACAAGAGCCAACAGACTTGAGACAGGAAAGGACGGGTCGATAACAAGAGAGGCAAGGACATGAGGAACAAGGGGACGCGTAGCATGGAAGAAGTCAGAGAACAGGGGCGGGGCCACAGCAAGCGACGACAGAGGACGAGATGGGAGGAGCGGAGGAGCACGAGACGTGTGGGAGCGAAGCAACATAGGGTGAGACCGCGGAAGAGGGGAGGTAGGACGAGCACGAGACGGACGACAAGACCCGATGTGAGACGTAGGAGTCGGGTTAGGAGAGAGAGGAGGAGACACAGGAGGAGAACGAGGAGGGAAACGAGCCGGAGAGGAGTCCGGGGGAGGAACACTGGGCCGTAGACTGGCGGAGGAGGAGGCACTAGCAGGCAGTCAGGGGAAGGAAGACCGAGGAGGCGAAGAGCGGACAGTGGCGGCGACTGCTGCGACTGCTGTTGGACTCCAACTCCAGAACCTCCAGCGACAGCACGACTCCCTCCGAGAACCTCCACGCCAGCACCCCCAGAACGGGAACCCGCTCCAGTACTCGCTCCAGCACGCTCCCCAGCACCCCCAAAACACACGAACCCTAGCGGCGGTGACGACGGCGGCTGTTGTCGCGGCGGCAATGGCAGCGGCGGAGGCGGCTTCGGTGGTGACAGCAACGGCGACGATGGGGGAGAAGAGACCAGGGCTGGGAGGGGCGGGGGGAGGGACTCCGTAGAGCTGCGAGAGTCAGCAGACTCCTCGGCAGGGACACCCGACGGGAGAGGGGTGATGTGAGACACACCAGACGGGGCAGGGAGGGGACAAGGGAGAGCCAGGGCAACCGGGGGAGGGGGAATAAGGAACAGGGGGGGTTAAACGGGGGGACCACGGTTGGGAAAGCGGTGATAGAAGGAGACGGACTCGTCAAAGGTGACGTCGCGGGAGTGAAAGAAGTGGTGAGACGGCGGGTGGTAAAAGTGCCAGACAGACGAGTTGAGGGAGAAACCGAGGAAGACACAAGGGACGGTGCGGGCAGTGAACTTGGCCGTGCCAGAGGCACAAACGTGAGCGAGGCAGCCCCAGACGTGGAACGCAGACGTGTCACCAGGGGACCCGGTCCAGAGGAGGGTCGGCGAAACCTACGGCTGCTGAGTGTGCGACCACAGGTTAAGCTGGTAAGCGGCGTAGCGAACAGCGAACGGCCACAGAAAATGGGGTGCACTGGCATGGATCATGGAGGTACGAGCCACCTCCACGACCAAACCGATGCGCCGCTCAGTGGCCCCTTTGTGCTACGGGGATTCTGACAGGGTGAATGTTTGGGTGATGCCCTCCGCACGACAGAAGCGACCAAGGCAGCCAGAGGCGAACTCACCACCACGGTCGGAGTGAAGACGCAACACAGGGAGACCTCGGTGAACAGCGCAGAGACAAGCCATGTGATAAGAACGTCAGGCACGTCGGCCTTCCGCTCCAGGGGAAACACCGTGGTGTAGCGCGTGTAGTCGTCGACAAGCACTAGGAAGTAGCGCTCTCGACGCGGCCCATGGACGGGGGCAGGACCCCAGACGTCCATGTGCAGTGTCTGCAGCGGTGCAGCGGTGGGGAGGAACGAGGAGGAGTGAGGGGCACGGCGGATCCGACCCTCAATGCAGGGCGTGCACGGCGGCGCTGGTGAGGAGGGTAGCACAGGGAACGACTCAGGGAGACCTAAGACAAGACCGTGGTGAGACATGTGACGAAGTCATGTAAGGGAAAGGTGACCTAGATGGTGGTGCCACAGAAGCGTCCGGTGAGTAAGAGACCGACACTAGCAAGCCGCAGCAACCTCGGTAGACGCAAACACCTAGGGAGACGTCCCAGCCGGGGGGGACGCGGTGTCCACCGTGAACACGCCAGACACCGGGTCCCGGGGGAACGTGGTGAGGGGAGCACCAGTGGCGGCCTCAGTACAGATTGCGTACCGTTCGTGACCAGGGAACTTAGTGGAGATGCCAAGATCCTGGAGGTAGCCAACTAGGTTCCTACAGAACGAGGGAATGTGGAGGCCTGTAAGGGAGCCCAAAGGAACCGCCGGACAGAAAAGGGTGGTGGAGCTACGGGCAACTACAGGACTTGAGGAAGGGTCTGCAAGGGCAACTGCGGCGGGAGTGGCAAGCGGCATAAGCGTAGTGGAGTCCCGTAAGAAACATCGGGAAGCGGTGAAGGAGAGCGCAGCAGTGACGGCAGGTGTAGGAGGAGTGAGGGTGGAGCCAAGACTAATTAAAGCAGGGGATCCTACGCCTGACGCAGCAGTGGAGCCTGAACTAGACACACCTACACTAGGCAACAAGGGGTAATAGGAACTAGTCACACTAGAGTCATCGACGTACAACACATACAAAGCAGAGCTAATCTCGTCAAGTCCATATCAATGATCCTAACACCACGGCGAAGCAGACTGTGCCAGTCAGGGAGGTCTGGCGCCGGGCCGAAGCGGAGACGAAATAGGTCGTCTAGGCGACTGAAACAACAAGTGGGGGTATGGCCGATCTTACCGCACACGAGGCCGCGGCGAGGACCGGTCTAGAGCTGGTACAGGCAGTGCCCGTCAATTGGACCACCACCCTACGTCACGCTGCGTGCACGACCACTGCGACCACCTCCACCACTGGCGCCAGGCCACCCGGGCGGGAGACGACCGACCCGCCGCTGCTGCGGCTGCTGTTGCTGCTGCTGCTGGTCCAGCTGCGGCGCTTGCTGCTGCTGCTCCGAGGCACCAGCCCCAGCCCCATCGTCAGGACTACCAACGGGCGAACCACCTCCACCCCCACCTCCGCTACCTCCGCCGCGCCCAGCCTTGGGGCGGCGACCCATACCCGGACGACACTGCGCTGCGGCAGCCGTGACGACTGTCTCCGCAGCAGGGGTTGTCTCAGCAACAGCAGCAGAACCGTCAAAGTAACTGCACTGAGCGGGGGCACAGCCCT